GGCTAAGTTAGACTATGATTCAGGATGACGTAACTAATGCATAGTAGTGATTTAAAGCGGATTGCCTGTCAGTCCACTGCCAAGCTGCTTCGTTGAACATCTTCAGGCTGATCTTGTCTTTGCCTTCTCTGCGGGCGTTGAGCAGAGCCAAGTATCCTGTGAATGTGCCAGGTGGCAGCATTTTCAATGCTGTCGTGTCCTTGCCAAAATTCATAGACACGGATTTCCGAGGACGCTTGCCTGTCCTTTTTCGAAAACGCAGACCAATTGGCACAGTGTCATTGCCATTCTGAGACTCAGTCGTCTTGGGAACCGGGCTGGCGGTGTCCCGGGCACGGTTTGCCTCGGGCATGTACTCAGCCACAGTGGCATGCATTTCCGTCAAGAACTCGACCACCGCCTGCTGTTTCTCCGTGGATCCTTGCATCTTCCGGTACTGACGAGTTTGCTTCAAGAAGCGTCCATCCCTGGGTGGAGGGACGCCCGATCTCACAGCTTTCCAAAGTTTCTGCATTCGTTCCTTTCCGATAAACAGCAGTCGCCCGAAAGCATCCTGGCATACAGGAGTGTCCAGGATGGACTGGCTGAATGTGGTGCGGTCCTCCGTGGTGTTTCTCTTGCGGCAGGAAGTGATCATATTCACGACCTGCACAACGAGCATTATCACGGACTCGGTCGGACCCGTTCAGGAAGGAAAAAAGCCTATTCAGCAACTGCACTGTTACTATTCACAGGACAGGGACAAGGCACAATAATAACGTCGAATGCCGTGCAGCAGCACATTCCAAATCAACCCTGTTGCAATTAAAAAGCTTGCAGCAAGACACGCGGAGTCAGAGTCACGGTCCTGCTAGCTGGGGAATGAATATGAAATTAAATTTGAATGGCCTCCTTGTCCATGTCGTGCTTGCCGAGAGCACGTAAGCGCAGCTGCAACTCAACCAATGCGTCCGCTTGCCCCCGGAACTGCTCCAAGCAGGAAGACCGAGTCTTGTTTTTCCTTGAGCAGTAGCATCTCTTGTTCATCAGAGAAAGCACCTGCCTGCGAACGGCGTGATAATTCGCCGCTGGACGCTTCCGTTTGCCGGATGATGTGCCTTCAGCCACCGGCAGCATTGGCTTGTCTCGTGAACTGGGCCCAGTGTCATCAACATCAGCACCAGACAATTCCGCCACTGCTGCCAACGAAACACATGAAGCATCATGCCTCCTGCCTTCTGAATGGACAGCCCTATCTCTTGAAGTGGGTCCTGCAATATCGTCATCAGACAACTCCACCACTGCTGCCAGCGCCGAGCTTGTCATTTGCAGCCGTCTATCAATGGCAGCCACATACTCAGGGTTGCCGACCTGAAAAGTACAGCCATCCACACAGATTAGGCCATCAGCAGGTCCTCCAGCGCCATTTCCACCCGCTGTGCCGGCAAATTCACAGCGTGCTGAGCAGCACTTGCTGGAAACATGGACACGCCCCAGGCCAGTATTACTAGGCTAGGCCTGCAATGCTCAACATTCTTGTCACTGAGACTGTCCTCATCATCATTGGATTTGCATTGATTATCAGGGTTCCGCAACAACAATGCCAACAGTTCTCGGAGTGAACAAACATCACGTGGAATTATTCTCGGCAAAACAACGCTGCAAGGCAGTCACAGGAAATTTGAAAGCAGCACAACAACTCAAACGTCATGTTTAAGGTCACTTATTACTGGCTGCAGCGGCGCATGGAGCTTCGGGTGCCGGAGCTTGGAAATTAAATGAAAAGAACTTAGACTTAGACTTGTCAATTCAGCAGAGGAGCGAAGGACTGCTGTCGAATATTCTCCATATCTCCGCCAACAGACAGGTCTCCTTGTGGCTGAGCCCAGTTCTGGAGCCGGCCCGGCTCACCCCCTGAGCAACGGGTCCCTTGCCCTAAGCCAATGAATGTCTCATGCACGCATGACTGCACGACACGCCCCAATGCCAACCTGGCACGGGAAGCCCCCGATCAGACCAGAAGCGCCGCTCATGTCCGTTGCATGAAACAATCTGACATCGGAGTAAACTGGGCCGTCCCAGGCCATGCCATCCGCAATTCTTGCCCGAATCACATCCTGGCAATACGAGTTGGATTCCACCTCAGACGGCGGTCTCATCGCGCGACAGCAATCAAACGGCTGTCACATTGCACACTTAACAGTAACTGCAGCTTGAATCTCAGCTTCCAGCGTACGCGATCGAGCGGCACAGTCCGGAGAGCGCCAGGTCCAAACCGAGCACGCCCGAAAACAAGCTGATGACCGGCCATAGCGTCTGAAACAATGCATGTCGTGAGCAATGAAACAGAGTCTGAGTCTAGTCTGAGTTTAGTAGTGCACGAAGACCAAATTAGATCTGGCCTTCTTGTCTGTTTCGCAAGGCCTCGCAAACAAGGTGTCGAAGGCGACCGATCGTGCACAGCCCGCAACGGGCTTGGTCCACCCGAGCGGCAAGCCTGGACACAGACTGCGAACTGAAGGCCCCCCGAAGAGGCAGGAGAATACAATGAGACTTCAACGTCCATTCCCTCAACAGTCAGTCTGCAACCAAGGTGCCACAGATGTACTCCGCGACGTGCGGGTTGACATACTTGCCAGGATCAACTACTTTTCGGAGCTTGCGTGCCTTCTGGAAAGACTCCGAGTAGTAAATTTGCGTCGCAAAGTCCTGCTGGTGCTGTGACGTAATTAAATTTGATGCGATCTTAAAAATTAAATGCAGCAAAGAAACTTTACGGGCACTCGTCGTCCTGTTTGGCTCTGACACTCAGATACTTCGGGTTTGCTCGGATTGTGGCACCAAAGCATCCTGAGGACAGTCGGCGGTCAGATTGAAACTTTATAATCAGTGCTCTGAGCATCAAGACCAAATGACGTGACAATGACAAGACTTTACTACCCGGGGCCGCAACGTATAGTACCCCATGTCTGGAATATGTGGGGCCGCTTTAGCAAGGCCACTTTGGTCTTGCACGATCTGGGCTGATGCTTCGGCGGCACCTGGGAAGGTTTAAAAACTGTGTCCTCAACATACTTTGCATGAATTATGGAATGATACAATCAATAATCCATCATTGTTGCCGCCACAGACACCATCTTCAGGTTCAGCGGCATTGGCCGTGGAGCGGGGCCAAAGTAGGGAGTCCAAGAACCCACGGCCACGCTTTTATGAATGCCCCCCGAGGCACTCACCCTATAAACCAGCTCGCCAAACTTCGGCAAGGGTTGTTGAGGCTCGTAATGAAGATGATAAAAACTAACATCTCCGGGACCATCCTGGCCCGGAGCCTGACGGGCCGTTCAGCATGAAACAAATCAAACATGACAATGATCAATGAATAATAATCAAATCCTGCGTCATGCACCTACTTTCCAGCCTCAGGGACGACAGCCGGCTTGTTCTTTTTTTCGTCATGCCTGGAGGACGCAATGTCTTGTTCTTAGATACGGGCGGAAGACAAGCGCCAGCCAGCCTCTTCAGATCCAGTGACTGCGACGCTGCTGCAGGGGAACTGGGCGGCATCAGGATAATAACCGTGACAGTCAGACGAAACGCATGCAGCAATGGGGCACACCAAATTTTTCTGGACCATGGTAACCATGAATCTGAGTCTGATGCTACGGATCTGATCTACGATCTACTCGGACTTTGCCTTTCGCTGAGCCAACCATGCAGCTGCAGCCTTCTTTGACACCGACTTCGCCGACCGCCGAGCCAACCAAGCCGCTGCAGCCTTCTCTGCCGCTGCAATGTCCGCCGCTGAGGGAGTGTCCTTCTTCATGACGGCCTTCTTCTGGTTGTCTTTCTTCTTCGTGCCACCGTGCTTCTTCTTGTCACAGTTCTTACTCGTCGTCTCCTCGTGCTCCGGATGCAGCAATGGCTGCATGGCCAACCAGGTCCGCCATGGATCAACTTTCATTACAAATACGAAAGAAACGAACTGACCTCACTACAGTGTTAGCTATAGAGGAAGTGACGTCACTGACAGACTGCAACGGGCATTGAAATTGGCAAGTGATTGCATGTGACTTAAAGCGCTTTGTCTGCCAAATCAGAATCAAAGTAAGACGCATTAAATTATTATCTGAATCTCACTCAACTCATCCTCACTTTTTTCGCAAGCCACGATCAAAGCTATCACAGATCCCGATCAGTACTGAGTCTGACAGGATTGAGGCCGAGACTAAGAGCGAGGCTCCGAACCTCTCGGCCTACTATCCGGACTTCAATGTTACTATGTGGCATAAAGGTTCTCGTCTACAGGGTCGTTGATTTCCTCGCCAGGTTCAGGGGCGACTGTCTCTGCATCGTCCATAGGGTGGTCATGGAGCGCAGGCTGAAAGTTCATGCGATCCAAAAATACGCCTCGCCACATCATCTGCCAGGGTCAGGACTCGGAGAAAGACACCCGGCAAGTCCTCCATCACATCCCGGGTTTCAGGTGGATCTCCTTTACGTCGTTTCGCCACAGGTTCTGCTGGATTTGGGGCATCCAAACGTCTTTTCTTTGGTAGCGGCGTGCGCTCCATGTTTTGACCTACGAAGTTTGGGCCGAGATCTCTGGCGAGACAAGAGCGAGGCTCCGATCCTCTCCGCCTACTCCCCAGAACTCTGGCTCAAACACCTGGGCTTTCGGCCGAGACAAGAGCGAGGCTCTGAACCTCTGGGCCTACTTTCGCACAGAATCCGTGGATTTCGGCCGAGACAAGAGCGAGGCTCCGATCCTCTCAGTCTACTCTCAGAACTCTTAAAGAATCCATGGATTTCGGCCGAGACAAGAGCGAGGCTCCGATCCTCTCAGCTTACTCTCCAGAACTCTGAAAGAATCCATGGATTTCGGCCGAGATGAAAGTCTCACATCCTTTACAAGTTATTGCACACCTCGTCCCCTTACAAGGCATGGCAAAAAACAGGAACGGTCTGGTAACCCCTAGCACTCACCAACAGTGACTGGTCCTTCTGTACAGTGATTGAAAGCCTCACTCCCGCAGCTCACCTTCGAACTCCACCAGAGGCAGCATCAGCTGCAAGGCCGTTATTTTAGACTCAGCGGCTTTCAGGTTTTGGCGAAGGATGTTGATTTGATGGAGAGCGAAGTCCCTGTCCAAAGTCATCTCCTTCAGCTGGCTGTCGAGCTCTAAGCACCTGATGGTTGCCGTCCTGAGTTGCATGGTGTCTGATAAAATTCATTGAAAACTCTTAGTCTCTCCTAAGTGGCTTATTATTATGAAATTCCTTCCTAGGGGCTTTATGCGACTTTGTCTGTTCTTCTCGTAGTCCCGTTGCTTTTCCTTGCGCTTGATCTTTGACATGACTTTGGAGTCGGCATCAGAGTCCTCCTCAGGCTCCGACTCAATGATCTCCTTCTTTATGATCTGTTGCTGACGCCGCGGCCTCTGCTTGATCGTCGAAACCATCTGCAGCTCCTTCTTGATGAATGCTTGCTCACACTTGACCATGACAAAGCTATTGTAGGGAAGGCCAGTTTGTAGCATGAGAAGCTCGACAGCTGCAGAGGGACAACCGACAGTTTTAGGGGTTTAGTTTAAGGTTTAGGCGCCATAAACCCGGCAGTTTTAGGGTTTAGGCTTAGGGTTTAGGCGCCGTACCGGCAGTTTTAGGGTTTAGGCGCCGTGCCGGCAGTTTAGGGTTTAAGCGCCGTGCCGGCAGTTTTAGGGTTTAGGCGCCGTACCGGCAGTTTAGGGTTTAGGCGCCGTACCGGCAGTTTTAGGGTTTAGGCGCCGTACCGGCACTTTTAGGGTTTAGGGTTAGGGTTTAGTATTAGGCGATGTACCGGCAGCTGTAGGGTTTTATTTAAGGTTTAAGGTTAAAGGTCCTTGCACCGTAAACCCGGCAGTTTTAGGGTTTAGGGTTAGGGTTTAGGCGCCGTACCGGCAGTTTAGGGTTTAAGCGCCGTACCGGCAGTTTTAGGGTTTAGGCGCCGTACCGGCAGTTTAGGGTTTAGGCGCCGTGCCGGCAGTTTTAGGGTTTAGGCGCCGTACCGGCAGTTTTAAGGTTTAAAAGGGTTAGGGTTTAAGATTAGTATTAGGCCATGTAACGGTAGTTGTAAGGTTTATGAGTTATGGTATTAAGGTTTAAGCACCGACACCCGGCAGTTTTAGGGTTTAGGGTTGAAGCGCCGTACCGGCAGTTTAGGGTTTAAGCGCCGTACCGGCAGTTTAGGGTTTAGGCGCCGTACCGGCAGTTTTAGGGTTTAGGCGCCGTACCGGCACTTTTGGCGTTTAGGGTTTAGTATTAGGCGATGTACCGGCAGTTGTAGGGTTTAGTTTCAGGTTTAGGGTTAAAGGTTGATTATTATTATGCACCGGAGACCCGGCAGTTTTAGGGTTTAGGGTTAGGGTTTAGGCGCCGTACCGGCAGTTTAGGGTTTAAGCGCCGTACCGGCAGTTTAGGGTTTAGGCGCCGTACCGGCAGTTTTAGGGTTTAGGCGCCGTACCGGCACTTTTGGGGTTTAGGGTTAAGGTTTAGTATTAGGCGATGTACCGGCAGTTGTAGGGTTTAGTTTAAGGTTTATAGGGTTAACCGGAGACCCGGCAGTTTTAGGGTTTAGGGTTAGGGTTTAGGCGCCGTACCGGCAGTTTAGGGTTTAAGCGCCGTACCGGCGCCGTACCGGCAGTTTAGGGTTTAGGCGCCGTACCGGCAGTTTAGGGTTTAGGCGCCGTACCGGCAGTTTTAGGGTTTAGGCGCCGTACCGGCACTTTTGGGGTTTAGGGTTTAGATTTAGTATTAGGCGATGTACCGGCAGTTGTAGGGTTTAGTTTCAGGTTTAGGGTTAAAGGTTGATTATTATTATGCACCGGAGACCCGGCAGTTTTAGGGTTTAGGGTTAGGGTTTAGGCGCCGTACCGGCAGTTTAGGGTTTAAGCGCCGTACCGGCAGTTTAGGGTTTAGGCGCCGTACCGGCAGTTTTAGGGTTTAGGCGCCGTACCGGCACTTTTGGGGTTTAGGGTTTAGGGTTTAGTATTAGGCGATGTACCGGCAGTTGTAGGGTTTAGTTTAAGGTTTAAAAATTTATAGGGTTAAAGGCTGATTATGCACCGGAGACTCGGCAGTTTTAGGGTTTAGGGTTAGGGTTTAGGCGCCGTACCGGCACTTTAGGGTTTAAGCGCCGTACCGGCAGTTTAGGGTTTAGGCGCCGTACCGGCAGTTTTAGGGTTTAGGCGCCGTACCGGCACTTTTGGGGTTTAGGGTTAAGGTTTAGTATTAGGCGATGTACCGGCAATTGTAGGGTTTAGTTTAAGGTTTATAGGGTTAACCGGAGACCCGGCAGTTTTAGGGTTTAGGCGCCGTACCGGCAGTTTAGGGTTTAAGCGCCGTACCGGCGCCGTACCGGCAGTTTAGGGTTTAGGCGCCGTACCGGCAGTTTAGGGTTTAGGCGCCGTACCGGCAGTTTTAGGGTTTAGGCGCCGTACCGGCACTTTTGGGGTTTAGGGTTTAGATTTAGTATTAGGCGATGTACCGGCAGTTGTAGGGTTTAGTTTCAGGTTTAGGGTTAAAGGTTGATTATTATTATGCACCGGAGACCCGGCAGTTTTAGGGTTTAGGGTTAGGGTTTAGGCGCCGTACCGGCAGTTTAGGGTTTAAGCGCCGTACCGGCAGTTTAGGGTTTAGGCGCCGTACCGGCAGTTTTAGGGTTTAGGCGCCGTACCGGCACTTTTGGGGTTTAGGGTTTTGTTGGAAGGCTCGTGGGACCTTCCTCTCAGATGGTTCTACCATCACCGAATTGTAACCATGGCTTATGAATGCATGGCTCTCGCAATCATTTTTACGGCACACAAAAGAGCTGTCTCTGCTTCGTCATCTGCAAAGTTTGTGCTCTCGACATCGCTATACACAGCTCTGAAAAGTCCTGCTGCAAGTGCTGTTGCTTATTTGTACAAGTGCAACGTGTTACCTTGCGGACAGAGCATGTCATGGCACAAGGGGCGTTACTTCGTAGCCTTCCCTTGACACACGGGCGGCGCCGGCATAGACCTGGCTGAAGAGGGTTCTTTCACACTCCTCCTCGCTCGCTCCGGAAGGGGCGCAGTGTCATGGTTGCATAGCCTTCAGCCGGGCTATGGTTCTTGAAGCCTCAACTCTGGACTCTATACCCCTCCAGCTCAGTAATGTACGGCCACTCAGGTTACGATCTCGCCACAACCACAAGATGTAGCGTAGCTGTCTGGCGGTCGGTCCAGTCGAGCCTCCAAGTTGTCCGATTAGGACCTCTGAAAGCCTTGTAGCTGCTCAGTCCTGACTGCGCAAGGCCACAAATGCGTAACCCCTCCTTTATTTCCTCTAGCCGCATTAGCATCACGGCATCAACACACACGCGTCGATCATCAGCTGAACCTCCACCAACTCGTTCGACTTCGTTCCAACCAACCGATGGTGCCGGTGAACTCATCGGCTCCGTAGGTCCGTCATATGTAGGTGGGGTCCGCATGGGCTCCGTTCTGCGTCGTGGTTCTGGTGTGACCTCTCGCACCGGCCGCCGCTGCCGCGGCGGTGACATCGTCGTCGTAGGCCTTGTCGGAGGTTGATCTCGTTCTCCTCCATCTTCCCATCGTGACGATGACATAGTCGACGGTTGGGTCACCCTCTCGAGCTCCCTTTGGATTGCCAGCGACGTAGCCTCCCTCAGCTTTTGCAGTTTTCTCAAGCGTCTGCTGGAGGCTCCTGGGGTGTAATTGTAGTAGATCTCGAAGGCTCCCCACTTCACTCCCTCATAGAGAAGCAGGCCTCCAAGGATCATCAAAAGACCCATCATCACCGCTGCCATATCCCAGTCCAGCTCAACTTGCCTGGTAGGGGTAGCCTCTCTTGCTTCTACCGTCAGGATCAACAAGCAACACACCATAGCAACCATCATCCGCGTCGAGCATCCACTCGTTGAGATTGCTCGCTCGCCCTTCGGAGGACTCTCCTCCTGTGAAGTTGTTCCCCACAGGCCTAGCAACGCCTTTATTCTTTGGCTGCTCAGCGGCTTCGTGAGGAGGTCCGCGGGCTGCGTCAAACCTGGCTGATGCCGGGTCAGCACTTCTCCAGTGGCTATCATGTCTTGCACCCAAGCTGCCTTCAGTCTCAAGTGGCGCGTACGCCAGGAGCCTGTCCCGGCCCCAATCGCCAAAGCGCTTGTACTATCGCTCGCCACCAGTTTCGCCGTGGGTTCAACTTGTAGATCCGCCAGTAGCGCCTCCAGGCCCATCATGCCGATCGTCCCATCCACGATGGCGGTGAGTTCGCTCTCCGCTGTACTCAAGGCAATTGTGCTCTGTCGCCCACTTCTCCAGGCTATTGGCGTTCCCGACCAGCAAACCACCCATCCTGTATGGCTCTTCTCGCTTGATGGTGCAAAAGCCGCGTCCGGGTAGAGCACAAGGTCCGTGTGGTCATTCTTGATAATCATCTTCACGTCCTTGGTGGCATTCAAATACCTGAGCACCTTGTACCCTATAGTCAGGCACCGGTCCGGGGCCTTCAGGGTGATCGATGCCATCAATGAGCACGTGAATGCAACATCTGGTCGCGTCTTGTGGGCAATCCACATGATCTCACCCGTGATCTTCTGGGCTGCCGAGATCATCTCGGTGGTGGGCTCTGGGTCGCTTTCCAGGCGCTCAAAGTAGGCGTGCTCCTTGGAGAGCGGGATCTTGTCCCGGTCGTCCTCCGCATAGCCGTAGGCCCTGAGAACCTCCTCGATATAGCTCCTCTGGTTCACATAGAGCTCCGTTTCCTCGTCGTTGATCTCCAACTCCATGCCCAGGAAGCGTAGAGGATGTCCTGGTCGGAGGAATGCCAATCCAGAGGTTTTCCACTCGCCCTGAATAGTCTCCGCAACCTCCCGAATCGTTTCCTCTTCGCCCAGCAAGAGGATATCGTCCACGTAGATGATCACCAGGGCCTTGATCGAGCCCCGCTCGTCCTTCAAGACCCACCATGCTGTGACCGTGCGCCCTCGGTACAACCGCCGGCCATGAGGAAACTCCATGGTACGCAAGGTATAGTCACGATGAGACGACCAAAGGGCTGGTGCCTGTCGTAGGCCGTATAAGGCCCTAATGAGGCCCCACAATTCGTCCTCCACAATCAAGTTGAGTCGTAGTAGGAGACGAGGTGGTGTCACAATTATAGTCGGTGAGCCGTCCTCCGGGTTCAGCGGGGTTCGTAGAAAGGCAGCAACGACATCGATCAAACCAATCATCCACTTTCGCCTTCGGGACATCACCAGGCCTGCCCTGACGGCTTCCGACGGAGCCGTTTCAGAGTACAGCTCAGACTGGTCTGGGGATGCATAGTTTCCACAGACCACTAGCCTCGCTTTTCTTTTGAACCACGTTGCTTTGTCTGCTGAGTCTGGGTTCTCGGCTGGTTTGACGGTGTACACGAACTTGGCCGGGAGCTTCTGCGCACCTGGTCGCCGCATCCACTTCACCCTCTCCTCAGTATTGGGGAGAAGCTTCTTGATCGCTACAGACACACCATCAAGCTCCTTCTGAATTGCTCCCATCCACAGGCCCATGTTGTCCGCTACCTCCTTGGGGTCGACGTTGTAGGTCACCTCGATGGGCCCCTTGAGCTCTTGTAGAATCGCTTCCACATTCTTTGTGAACCCCGCCTCGACCTTCATAAAACGAGGGCGTGGTTGCTCTCGATGCTCCGTCTCGTCATCCCCAATCTTCACCTTGCCACCATCAACGTCCAAGTACATCTCCCAGAGTTCTTCCACGTCGCTACCATCCAAGTCCTCAGCAGTCGCATACTCCACCTGGTCGTGGGACTGGACTTCCACCTTGGCCTCCATGGGTTGAGGATCCTGGGCCAGGAAATACTCCGGGTACTGGGACAACGGGGGTTGGAAGCCCCTAGTCTCGAGCTCTTGGATCATCTCAGTGGACAACCTTCCCATGCATTGTGGTGTGTAGGCTATCAGGACCGTTCTTGTTCCCGTCCATGGTAGTACTTCATGTGCCCGCCGTGGAGAGAAAACCGTACAGGATCCATGTTGTAGCTTCTTGAGGTAGCCATAGCGTCTTTTTCCTAGACTGTCCGTACGGTCCATGATCTCTCCATCCACACGATCACCGGGAGATAGCTCGACCCATAACTCTCCACCACGCCTTGGCATCCGGATGGGGTAGACGTAGTTCACCGCATTCTCGTCGTTGTTGTAGTCCTTGTGCAAACCACGCTCCGCATTCCTCGCCACCCAGATTGCCGTGAAGTTCGCCTCCGGATTGACCTCCAAGACGATCCTTGATAGAACCTGCGAGAGCTCGGGATATTGGCGTAGCCCCCGCAACCATCCAACAGATCCCCCATGACGGAACACTCCGAACTTCCACTCATCAAAGAAACCAACCTCCGCGAGCTCGTCCACCAAACGAACTGCTCCCTCTTGATCCCAATCATCAAGCAGAAAGCGTGCCTTCCGGGCAATGTAGTCATCCCGCTCCTCCTGGGACAAAGCAAGGTGTCGCAGCTCGACCTGTTCCATGGGCTTCTTTTCCGTAACGCGTCTCCTGGGCCTCAATGGAGTCTGAACTTCCAACTCCTCCTGGGGCGGTCCAGGATCCACAAGTCGATGCCTCACATGGAAGGTGTGCATGAACTTCTCCTTGTTCTCAGGCGTTTCCTCCACGTACACCACATGGCCATTGTCCAAGATGTTACTTTAATGGACCCGGTTTTAGCTAATGGTTTAAAAGGATTATAGAGTTTGACAAGCTGGTAGTAAGCGAGTAGTAACCTAATTATAACCCAGTAGTAAACTGTTATAAGTGTGATAAACGGTTATTGAAGTTATGTGGGATTATATAGAAGTTATTATTTTTAAGGAGTTTATACAAGAGGTTATGATAGGTTATCTAAGTGGTTAAGCATAAAGAATGTAAGTCGTATAATGGTTATAATCGGGATTACATATCCACTTATCAGACACACACTACTGCCATTTTACTGGGTCACGCTGTCTATATATTTCATGGTTGATATAGGCCCAGAGGCAAGTTGGTGTGCGATTGGAACCAGTTTTTCCCTTGACATGGCGGGATTGTGTTTCTGAATCCGCTTTACCATTGCATCCCATTTGCTGCCTGCATCAAGACAAGGGCTCGAAACCCCGAAAGCATGCAAAGCACAACCGCACAATGCAACACCAAGCTTGCATTGAGCCGGTGTGCTCCGGGGACATCTTTCAAAAATTTGCAATGGCTGTTCAATTCCATTTAAAGTTGAGATCAAGTTTCACGTGCCCATGGCGGCGTTGTACGGTTCGTGCATATATGCAGGTGCAGCTCGAGCCAAGTGCGTTGGAGGCAGTGCACGCGTGGCACAGCGGACAGGACATGCAGAGGATGAATGAAGATGAGGAGGAGGACCATGAACTGCCCCGGAGGGGAACGAGCGCTGATATCCAGCGGGCATGCATGCATGCACAGTTCTTCTGTGCAGTTTTGTATATAGCGCATGGATCGCGAAAGCTGTGCGGGATGCTTCTGCGTCCAAAGAGGAAAAGAAGAAGATTTAAGGTTTTATTTGAAATGAATTTTATTGTTATATATATATATATATATATATATATGTATATGCATATATGCAGGAAGACAACTGAAAGCCGCGCAATCGCATAAATCTTGCCGGTAGCAGCAAATGTTCAATTGTTCATGTGGAGCTGCATAGAGCCCAGAGGCTACAACGCCTGTGGAAGTTCAATTGAGCTTGATTGGAGAAGGGCTCCATGTTTGAAGGCTGAAGTGGAGAAGGGCATTCTGCATGTGCCAGTACGGGAAAGAACGCATGCTTCCGCGCCGCTCCGTCAAGAGAGGGTATAGCTGACGTAGTTGCATGCATGCCTTCACACACGCAGCAGCACGCATGCACAGCAGCAAGCACAGCAGCATGCACAGCACCATGCAGAGCAGCGCAGCAAGCATGGAGCAGTTATACCTCAAACAGTCGCTTCACTGCACTCTGAAGACTGTAACGCCTTGGGAGTTTACTGCACTTAGAACACTTCGGTCCCAGACCTGGCAGGTCCCTGCAGTCTGAGGCTTGTAACTCCTTATAGAACGGCCACTCTGAGGCCTGTACGCACACACACTTCAACATGCAGCATGTAACGCCTTAGGCAGCAACTTCACTGCACTCTAAGACCTGTAACGCCCATAGGACCGTGGCCTCGCGGAGCCATGGACAAGAATGTCGTGAAGGGCATGGTGGACTCCCTTGAGGAGGCGCGTGCAACGCGAACCTTGACCGAGAACGAAGAGCGCTTCATTAGCGAGTACCACCAGGAAGTGAGGGCACAAGCTGCCAGGAAGAAGGGAAGAAGTGCGCCCTCAGAGGCGAAGGAGGACGAGACACTTTCCGAGGAGCCCAGGGTGGGTGGTTTTTTCTATAGTATGTATATGTATATATATATATATATATATATATATATATAGATATATATATATATATATATCGCTGTATAAATATTGAAGCTAGAAATCCTCATACAAAATATAGAGCTCACTTCTATAAACCTGCTCAAGTCATTTCAGGTTTTTAAATACATATTATATAAGGTTACCTTAAACTACCCCTCTAAACCACCTAACAAATTTAAAGCATGTAGGGTTAATATGTATATATATATATATATATATATGGGTTCGATGCCCGCAATACAAAATATCGCGAAGCCTTGAACCCTAAACCTATATAATCTTATTAAAAAACCAGCAAAGCCTGCATGCCAGGACCAGCCGACGAGTCCGAGGACGGAGCCCGACGCGGCTAAGGAGCCCAAGGTGGCTGAAAGGAAGGAGACGGAGTCGGAGGACAGTGCAGCGCCTTCGGTGGCGAAGCGGGAGGCGGAGCAGAGCTCGCAGGGCGAGAAGGCCAAGAAGCTGAAGAAGGAGCGCCGTAGGGCGGAGCGGAGGGCGGAGTCCGAGGAGCGCCGACGCCGGCGGGAGGAAGAAGACCGGGAGCGCAGCAGACGCTTTGAACGGGAGATGGCGGAGTTGAGTGAGAGCATCCAGCGCCAGCGAGAGGCGGAAGCGCAACTATTTGCGGACCGGCTTCGCGAGTGGAGCGACACGCAAGATCGCTGGTGGCGCGAGGCGCAGGAGGAGAGGGCGCGCCGTCGCCGTGATGAGGAGGAGGGGGAGGACCGTCGCAACCGAGGGCGCCGGGACCGGCGAGAGGACAGGAGCGATGATCGCTGGGATGATGGGCGTTATCGCCGAGACGACAGGCGCGATGATCGCCGGGGTGATGGGCGTGATCGCCGAGACGACAGGCGCGGCCATCGCGACCTTGGGCCTGGGCAGTGGCGCCGCTCTGGCGATGATGACACGGACGATGCTTGGTTTTTCTTCGTATACTGTTTTCGGGTTTGTTTATAAAATACTATATATATATATAATATTTATCCTAATCCTGCATATAGACCTTATAATGCGAAAACCTTATGCAACGTTTCAGCTTCAGCCTAAAACCTTATAAGCCCAAAACTATATACATAAACCCTGATATCAACCTTGAACCCCAAACCCCAAAACCCATAAACGCACAACCCTATATAGCCATCTCAGGACTCGTGGTATGGTGGCAGAGGGCGCTCTGGAGGAGCGAGCAGCAGCAGCGACCCCCGTGGCGGGAAGGGCGCCCGTGGTGGCGGCAAAGGAGGAGCGCGCCGGCCGCGATACGAAAGCTACGTAGGGCGCGAACACGAAGCTCCGGATGGAACTCCGTTGGATCGCCGCCGAGGGGGCGCCGTCACGAAGGTCGCCGTGCTGCTGGGCGCGTTTGAACGCGATGGCTTGAGCGCAGACTTGCTCGACATGGCAGAGCGCTTCCAAGACGCTTTAAGTGCGCGCACGACGCGGATTGAGGATGGGTCGTGGGCAGACAAGCTGCGGCGCTTAGTTATAGCGATCGAGAACCAGGACGAGGACATGGTTCAGGAGCTGCTTTACGACTACACCCACAGGTGCAGTTTCCTGGAGAGCGCCCTGGCCAACAAGAAGTGGGAGGATTGGCGGCGGCGGGGCTACGAGGATTAGGGCGTTTACCGCCAAAAGGGCGCCAGTCGCCGGATAGTGGGCGCATGTCGCCTTGTACAGCTTCCAGCAGCGCACACTTGCGGCCTGGGTTTTTTACGGGCTTTATATATATATATATATAGCCAGATTAATACGAAGCACATAGGTATAATATATTATAATCTAAAATACAGCTGCAAATGTGTGCCGCGACGGCAGAGCAAAGCGGAGCGTGACGCTTCAGGCTGCAAAAAAAAGAGTGCGCACAACAGGTTTTGGTTTTTAGGGTTTAGGGTTTAGGGTTGAGATTTTACTTTAATGCAATTGTTCAAGTATTTGATTCATAAAACCCTAAACCCACAACGCTTGAACCCAAACCCTTAATCCCTTATCCCTAGGCTTGAACCGCTAAGCCTTAAACCCCAAACCCTCGACCCTAAAGCCTTAAACCCCAAGCTGCCAACCCTTAAGCCTCCCCCAAACCCGTATCCCCCCCTCCACCCTCTTTTGGGCGGGCTTCGGGGATGTGGGGGGGGGGGGCATGGGGGGGAGGCTTGGGGGGGCGTTGGGGGGGGGGGGGGGGGGGGGGGGGGGGGGGGGGGGGGGGGGGGGGGGGGGGGGGGGGGGGGGGGGGGGGGGGGGGGGGGGGTGGGGGGGGGCGTGGGGGTGGCTGGGGGCTGCTTGACGGGGCTAGGCAGGGCTGGGCAGGGCTGGGGGGAGCCGAAAATTCCAATTTATATATATAAATTGAAATTTCCAAAAACGGAAATTCCAATTTATATATATAAATTGGAATTTCCAAAAAAAAAATCCAATTTATATATATAAATTGGAATTTCCAAAAAAAAAATTCCAATTTATATATATAAATTGGAATTTCCGAAAATGGAAATTCCAATTTATATATGTAAATTGGAATTTCCGAAAATGGAAATTCCAATTTATATATGTAAATTGGAATTTTCGGCTCCCCCCCAGCCTTGCCCAGCCCTGCCTAGCCCCGCAAGCACCCCCCAAGGGGCGCCCCGCCCACACCACCCCAACCCCACCCGCCCGCCCCCCCCCCCGCCCCCCCCACCCCCCCCCCCCCCCCCCCCCCCCCCCCCCCGCCACAGCCCCCAACCAGCCCGAGCCGCCCCCCCCCGCCCCCCCCCCCCGGCCCCCCCCGGCACCCACAGCCCCCCAAACCCCAGCCCCAGCCAAGAAGCCTACGCCCCCCCAAGCGACCGCCCCCAACCACCATGCTGCAAATACCGCGTGAAAACAACAGCCAGGCATCCCCCACATCTGCGGGCAAAATCTGGCGGAAGTGATGCGCCACCGAGCAAAAACTGTAAATACTGCATTAAACAAAATTTCACGCATCTGTTGGCAACATCTGGCGGAAGTGAGCTGTGAATCACTTCCGCCAGATGTTGCCCCGTCAACAACCAGCACACCCTCACACCCACAACCCACGCCGCACATCATGCCGAACAACCGGCACAAAACATGCAAACCCACCCCGCGCCCATTCAACCAGCAGCCAACGCCCAGACACCCACAAACCCTAACCCTGAACTATAAACCCTAAAACTCCAAACCCTCAACCCCCTAAACGCCGAACCCCAAACCCCAAGCCCCTAAACCCTAACCCTGAACCTTAAGCACCAAACCCTAAACCTTAAACCCCTTGAACCCCAACTCCTTAATCCCTTATCCCTATGCTTGAACCGTTAACCCTTAAACCCCACATCCTCAACCCTAAACCCTCCAAACCCCAAGCCGCCAACCCTAAACCCTAAACCCAACCCTGAACCGTATAACACCCTATATAACCCCAAACCCTAAACCCACACCCACCCGCCCACCCAAGCAAGCAAGCAGCAGCACGACAGCATCAACGTTAATGGCAACAGCACAACAACAACAACAACAACAACAACAACAACAACAACAACAACAACAACAACAACAACAACAACAACAACAACACTAGCAACAACAGCAGCAGCAACAACAACAACAACAGAAACTCATGTTATAGTGGTTCACCATGATATTTATTTATAGATGTTAGTTTTACATATAATTAACACTAAACAAAACCCTATTTAGTTCGTCATGTTGTAGGTCATTCTTGTTTCTACATGAGTATGATAAGTTGATTCACATATATCAATCTATGAATTGCAGGCGAACCGTAAGTATTACTGTATAATACTACAGACATAATTTAATGTTGGGGTTTATACGGTCTATGGAGCCCAAGGTTTAGGGTTTAGGGCGCGGGCAGCTGAAACCACAACTTTTTGGCTACTGGCGGACTTTGGACGCTGCTGTATACTGCCACACAGGACACACATCTGCTGGCTTTCGGTCGAAGTGATATACACTGCTTGCATGATCGACGTATAACTGCTCTTCCACGCCGCAGGTGTGGCCTTTAAGACTATATACAACGGCGAAGCACGCCCTCAAGCTACACGGCGGCAAACGCCCTTTTTAGACTCAGTCGCGGTAACCGCGCTCCCGGTAGCTCTGCCACTGACGATTCTGCATGGCAGCCTTGACAGGAGGAGCGTGCTTGTACTCCTCAGCCATATCGCGAATCTCGCGCGCCTGGCTGTGACCAATCGCCGTGCAGAGGCGCCTGAGCTTGTCGCTCCAGCTGTTGGCCTTGACGGGCTCCACGCGTGCAGCGAGTTCATCCGAAAACCGCTCAGCCAGCTCCTTGAGCTCCCTCGCGACACCAGCGCGCTCGTACGTGGCCAGCAACACAGCGACTTTTGTTGCGCCTCCGCCACGGTTCTTGTCCAGTGGCTGACCAACTTGTAGATCCACCTCACGGCCAACGTAGCTCTCGCGATGACCGCGCCCTTTGCCGCTCTTGCCGCCTCTGCGATCCGACGCACCAGCATTGTCCGCGGAGCGCTGCGCTCGCCCCCATGCCTCACACGAGGAAGCTGGAAAAAGGACATTCCGCCACGTTGGGCGCTCCTCCCGCCCCGTTGGGCGCTCCTCCCGTCCTGTTGGGAGCTCCTCCCGCCCCGCTGGGCGCTCTTCTCGCCTCGTTGGGCGCTCTTCTCGATCAAGGGGGCGCCTGTCCCCGCGCCTGTCCTCGCGCCGCTCCTCCCGCCGTGCACGGCGCCGCTCTTCCTCCTCATCCATGTCCTCGCGCTGCCTGCGCCTGTGTGTCTCGCGAAGATCGCGCATCCGCTCTTCGTGTTCGCGCAGCTGCTCTTCCATTTCCACGCGACGAGCGCGCGCATCCTCCTCCATCCGCTCGCGAAAGCGTTCCCACTCCTCGCGCGACTCGCGCTCGTGCCGCCTTTGGCGCTCTGCCTCGTGCTCGAACTCCCGCCGCAGGCGCTGCAGCCGATCCTCCTCCCGCCGGGGACGGCGCTCCTCTTCCCCTTCATCCTCCTCCTCTTCGGTCTTCGCCCCCCTGGGCGCCTGCTTCCGGCGCGCCTCCACCTCTCTGTCTCTGGCCACCTGCTTCGCCGCCGTAACAGGCGCGCCTTTCTCTTCCACCTCCTCGCCCGAGGAGTAATACTCGTACGAGGAGTCCTCTGCAGCTGATGCACCGTGTTTCACCGCGCTCTGCGACGCGCTCTTGGCTTTCGCGCCAGGCACCAGCGGCGCCTGAAACACACCAGCCTTTTTCAGAGCCTCGTACTCAGCGAGAAACCGCTCTTCGTTCTCTGCAAGTTTCCGCGACTTGCGCGCCTTTTTCAACTCGGCAGCGTGCTCTTCCATGGCCAGGGTGTTACAAAGCAATAAGCTATACTCTGTCTGTGACTTACTTATGTATATATGATTTATATATCTATATACAGCACATATTATGTGCTCGCCACTGACGAGTCACAAGTATAGAAATGCATATGTACATGCTAAGTTCAGTGCCAGGGAGTTAGTATAGTCTACAGCGGCAGAGATGTAATTCCAAAGTGGTGCCGTGCTTCATCTCTTGTTTCCCGGTCTGTGAGTTCTGCCGTGTCCGCATGTCTCTGTGCATGTGTGTGTGTGTGTGTGTGTCAGTGTGTGTGTGTGTGTGTGTGTTGTGCCTTGGCCCCGGGGCGCTTGCACTGTACATGAGAGCGATGAGAAAGCGGCGCCGGTCATATACTCCAACTCAAGTGCATCACGCGTGATGAAATCCTTCTTGGGAAGTGCACCTGGATGGGGTATAATAAAATCGTTGCTGGGAGGTGCTTGTGCTGTTCTGAAGCAACCATGCAATCAACCTGTCAGGCAGGGGTACATATAAGTCGTTGCTGGGGCGTGCTTGCACTGTTCTGAAGCAACCTGTTCGCCTGGCTTGGGGCATCTTGCGGTGCGCCTGCAGCAACCAAACCTGGCAGCCACGATTATGGGGTAAAGTTGTCGTCCCGCCAGGATTGGGGTAAAGAGTCAACCAAACAACCTGTCAGCCAGGCTTCGGGCTAAGTCGATGTTGCAACAACGACGTTGTATACCTCCCATGGAAGGTGCTTGCGCATGTTCTGAAGCAACCAAGCAACCTGTCAGCCAGGATGCGGGGTAAAGTCATTTTGAGCAGGTTCTCGCGCGCTGCAGAAGCTGCCGTGCAGCGGGAACAAACTCCATTCTACACGAATTTTGGCTTGGTAGGACATGAATCTTAATAAAATCATAAGGTGCACCTCCGAAATTCTATAGTGCACATACCAAATATTGTTGGCTTAAAGCCTAGATCATAACCACTATAACCCTCTACATAACCCTTTACATAAACCCTTCCATAACCACTTATGTAACCATTTATGATAACCACTTGACAACCCTTTACTAACCTCCATAACCCCTATAAGTCACTAGCTAAAACCCGGTCCATTAAAGTACTAAGTCCCACGTAGGTTCCCTTGACCCACTTGGACTCGAATGCTTGCTCCCTCCTTAACGGTCCGGCCGAGTCGAAAGCCTTGCGTCGAACATGGACGGTTGCACCAAACGGGGCCAACATCTTCGTCCTCCATCCAAGAACTCGTGATCGCTGAAGCGCTGTTGCCGCCTCCGCTGCCGACGGCCACAACCGCGTTGGTAGCCGTGCAGCGGCAAGTAGTGTCCGTGTATGGTCCTTCACCCAACGAACTGCGCTTTCAGCTTGTCCATTCCCTTGTGGCTTCCCCGGTTCAGACCATGTGGCCCGAATACCTTGGTCCCTGAGCCAGTTACGGACTGAGTGGTTGTAGGTCTCGCCCTTGTCCGAATGTAGGCGATAAACAGGAAGTCCTCGCGAGTGTAGGTAGAGGATGATGTCCTGGATTGCCCCCTTAATCGCTTGCGTGCCATTGTTCGGTAACGGCCTCGCAAACAACAAGTAGGTTGACTCTGGCTCCTCACAATCAGGAAACACTCTCTTCGTCCGATCTGGCCCCTGATCCAGCTCCTCCTTCTCCTGGACTTCTCCTTGTACAACTGATGGCTCATACTCGGAGTCCTCGTAGTCGACGTATCCATCACGTTGAACCTTGGTTCCACCCACAAACGCCTCATGGTTCCGCTCAAGCTGCTCGAACAACTCCGGAAACGGACTCTGCTCACCTGGGTCATCGTCACATACGACCAAAGGACTCTGCTCACCTGGGTCATCGTCACTTAACATAAACGGATCCCCCTCTTCTTGTGGTAGTGGTGTAGAAGGTCCTGCGGGTTCTTTGTCGTTGTCATTGCAGACTACACGTGCTGGTCGTTGATCACGTTCCCCCTCTTCTTGTGGTAGTGGTGTAGAAGGTCCTGCGGGTTCTTTGTTGTTGCCGTTGCCCTCCTCATCACCTTGTTGTAGATCACGTTCCCCCTCTTCTTGTGGTAGTGGTGTAGAAGGTCCTGTGGGTTCTTTGTCGTTGCCGTTGCCCTCTGCATCACATGTCGTAGCCATACTCAAACCATGGTCTTCAGGAGGTTCGCGACCCGTAAAACCCTTGACATACTCGGTGGGGAGAACATAGCGACCGACCAACATGTAACGTAGGCCCTTCCCCATTGTTCCCTTCGACGAAACATCCAAGCCCGGTTTCACTGGGCCAGCCACATCGACGGTGAGGTTGAACATATCTGGCGACCTCACTCTCGCATGCCTCCGTCCCGTCCCCCTCGACATAACGCAGGTAAGACAATCGCGGTGGTACTCCGCGTGGTTCGACTGGACATGCTTCTTCCACTGCTCTGCTGACATCGCTGCCACCGTAGGTGGCATCACTGGTCTTCTGTCCCAAAACCTCAAAGCCGTTACCATTGCTCTCACAAGACCGGGAGACCACGCAGCCAACATCTTGCCATCCTGCTCGGTGCTCGGGGGAGCGTCCCTTCCTCCCAAGCCGTTCAAGCCCAGTAGGTAGTAGACGTTGGTTCCAATCGTTGTGGGGGAATTGGCTCCTCCAGTTGCTTCCTGATTGAAGGACACCTCAGTCATGCCCATCTCCTGCTGAAACTCCCGCCACATCGTCGACTCCCATAACGAAGTCCCGCCACCGCGGTTCGCCGTAGGATGCTCCATCACAAAGGCTACCGGCCTTTCCTTGTTCAGGACGTTCCCTCCTGAGCTTCGTGCCGCCCGGGCGACCGCGTAGAGCCACATCATCCGGACGACCGCCGTGAGCGATCTGGTCTTCCCCGTCAGTAGCTCTCCCTTGGGGTTCCACATTCCAGAGCGGCCTGGTGGTCCTCCAACGATCGCATCTAGCCGTCCCGTGAGGGCGCCCCACAGCAGAAGCTTCCACGTAGATTCGTTCATCACGTTGTGGCCCTTGCATCTTGAAACATCCAACTCCAGCACAGCAGTGTTGCCCTGGTCGAGCTGGAACATCTGGTAGTGTCCTGGGTCACCCGCGTAAAGGTGGACCACCCATTTTCGGGCAGACCAAAGATAACGCTTCTGTGGCCTCGTCAAAAAGTCCACACCCTTAAACACCTTCCATCCATCGTCTCGTACTCCCGGAATTAGGAGACCATCAAGACATTCTCCTGGAAGCCCGTGTAGAAACCCTGCGTCTCGTAGGCCTCTGTAGCCTTCTTCCATATCGCCGGTCCCCGCATAGGTCTGTAGGTGCTCCTGCCAAGTTCGGTCCATTCGTAGGGCCGCCAACGCCAACCGGTCCATGGTTGTAACCGTGGCGTTCAAGAGGTTCTCGCGGTTCTTGTCCTCCAAGCGAGATATGATTGAAAGGGCTTCGGCCTCGCACAAGTGCGGGCAACCCGAGTTGATGGACAACGGGATCTGCTCTCCATCACCAGTCTGCAGGAAACACCTCGAAGGAGACCACACTATAAAGTATATCCGAGCGTTCTCACCAGTTCACCGAGGGGAACTATGGTTTGACCTCTAGAGGACGATCCCCCAGAGGTCCCAGGCAGGCCTCGTGGTGGCATCAAGAGGGTACCAGAGGCGTTCATCCGCATCAACAGAGAGTTGTCTCCCGCCAGTTGTACTTGTACCTCAGCTGCCTGCTCCCACTCATTGTCATCCTCGGCGCTACGAAGACTGTGAGTCGCTCCCGAGTCCAGCAAGGCCGACGATGAAGAACTCATCGCTGAAATCCGGATATCCCGAACCCTGATGGTCTTCAGCTCCGGACGGGTTTTCTCAGGTGACCTGTCCTCGCTCTGAGTCTGGGCCTGTACGACCTGCTGGGCCGCCTGTATCAGCGACTCAAGTGTCCACGCCGTCCCCTGTATCGTGGAAGAGGGCGAAGAGGAATCGGTGGAGCCCGCAGTCGCTGTAGTAGACATCGTTGACATAGCAGGTGTGATTGGCCGATCCTTGTTCCCACCAGGCGGTGCGGCACTCGTAGAAGGGTTGCCCGGCGGTCGTTGTCCCGGGCGTCCAATGGGGCAGTCTTTCTGCCTATGGCTCTCGGCTCCACAGCTCAGACACTTTCGGTTCCTGACCTCGCGTTCCAAGGAGCTCATGTTGTGGCTGTAGTTGCACTTGGCCCCTCGTTTGCAGCCTTGGGGCTTCAGAAAGTATCGACAAAGGTCCACGCCCGTGCCCTTCTCGCGGTCCTTATCCTTGCCCTTGCCCTTGGGGGACTCCGGTTTGTCCAGAGCACGTAGCCGCGGCTGCTCTCCTGACATAGCTGCCGCCGTCCTTGGTTGGCTTGCAAGGAGGGTCTCGATCTCCGCCTGGAGGTGCTTCTGGTAGGCGTGGACATTCTCCATAGTCGGTTGCCCATCCAAGCGCAAACTTGTACGCAACATACTGGTTCGGAAGTTCGAGTCCGGAGCACCTTCGATGTACTTAGCCGTAAGAAGCTTCAAGCCCCGCGCCAGCACCGATGCGTCCGGGGGTGCCATCCGCACCGCCAAGCACCGACTCATCCACCTCGGCCATGCTCGCAGTACTCGTAGAACACCTTCCATTGTATCACCTGCCACAAAGTCGAGCGGAGCCTGAAGACGCCGCAGTAGGTCCTGGCGCTCATTACTCCCGCCCGGCTCATACAGCGTGTGTAACCTGAACAGCATCCTCACCGTACTTGTAGACATCCTGTGAGAAATCATGTCGGTACGTTGTTCAGGGGACATCGCGGACAACAGCATCGTAGTAACTCGTGCGTTGAGCCGGGTCCACTTTGTCTCAGACAGCTCCTGTCCCCCAGGTTGAACACCCAGTCTTTCGAGAGGTGTAGATGCTAACCATTTCTGGTACGCCTCATCCACAGTGCGAACCACCTCTCTCCACCATGCAGCGCTCTGGTCACTCACGTCACTCATCGCTGCCGAGGTCACCTCCAGCCAGTCCTGGAACTGCAACGCCGCCTCCGCTCCTTGGCTGAGTTCGGGTAGGGGTGTCAGCGTTGAGGTTCCTGGCTTCAAGATCTCAGGTGAACTGGACTGGCCCTTTGCTAACGCCGCTGCTTGCAACTCCTGAAGCTGTTGTACTCCACGAAGAAGAGCATCCATCATTGGCGATTCGGGGGGTGAACCCGACGCAATCCTCGGCGGTGGTGGCGTCTGGCTCCTGGAGCGCTGAGGTCCCAGAAAGGAACGTAGAAAACCCCGGTTCTCTTGTTGAGGCTGTGGTGGGGGTGCTGGTGCCGTTGACATAGGTTCTGGTGGTTGTGTAGGAGGTACAGGAGGTCTATGCTCACGATCCCCAAAGTAGCCCTGATTACTCGGTAGTGGTGGTGGCTGCGTCATCCCCAGCTGCCCTACAAGTAGAGTAAGAGGATCACCCTGGGAATGCTCCGGTGGTACAGATACTGCTGGAACCCTTGGTAGCTGAGCAGGTTCACCGAGAGGTACTTGACCGGGTTCACCCTGGCGTAGCTCAGCTGCTTCACATACTCCCCGGGCCCTTGCATGCTCGCCTCTGGCTTGGCGGGCTTGCTCCAAGGATCTCTGTGTGGCTTCCAGCTCCATCCTCAGCACATCATTGTACTGTTCTGCACTCTGCAAACGATCCAACAACCCACCCAGCTGTCTCTGAACCTCCGCCTGTATTGCCTCTTGCGGCAGATCCGACGAGCTCGGTGGTGTAGGAGGCGGTAGAGGCCTCATAGACCTCACCGGCGATCTCAGCCTGAAGGTAGGTCCTCCAGGCGGCGATGGAGTCGCGCTAGCCCCAGCCAGCGGGCTAGGAAGAGTATCCAGGTGGCCCACGCTCAGATAAGACCCCAAACGCGACACCCACCTTGGCATTTCCAGTCCTGTCATCCAGCTTGGTTGCTGGGCCATCACAGACGCCGTTGATCTCGGCGTTGTAAACTCCGCGGAACCGGCAGCCCCATGCGGCCACCCAGCGTAGTCACCCGGACCCGGGCGTCCGTCCACGTCCACAGTCGTAGAGCTCCTTGTTGGTCTCCCCTGCTGCAGATGCGATTCGTTCCCCTGCGGTCCTCCACTCGCTGTAGGTAGCTGCTCCGAGCTTCGCACTCCGGGCGCTCTCGCGCCTGCAGACACACTTTCCGCATCGCCACCCGTAGTGCCCTGCTCGCCGGTTGGCTGCCCGGCCCTTTGTCCATCTGGTTGTTCATCACGAACAGGTAGTCCCGGGTCCCCGGAGCCTCTTGCCACATCGGGATCCACCCCGTTTGCGGTTAGCGCAGGCCCTTCCGCTTGGGCGCTCATAACCTGTTGGAAGGCTCGTGGGACCTTCCTCTCAGATGGTTCTACCATCACCGAATTGTAACCATGGCTTATGAATGCATGGCTCTCGCAATCATTTTTACGGCACACAAAAGAGCTGTCTCTGCTTCGTCATCTGCAAAGTTTGTGCTCTCGACATCGCTATACACAGCTCTGAAAAGTCCTGCTGCAAGTGCTGTTGCTTATTTGTACAAGTGCAACGTGTTACCTTGCGGACAGAGCATGTCATGGCACAAGGGGCGTTACTTCGTAGCCTTCCCTTGACACACGGGCGGCGCCGGCATAGACCTGGCTGAAGAGGGTTCTTTCACAGGTTTAGGGTTTAGTATTAGGCGATGTACCGGCAGTTGTAGGGTTTAGTTTAAGGTTTAAAAATTTATAGGGTTAAAGGCTGATTATGCACCGGAGACTCGGCAGTTTTAGGGTTTAGGGTTAGGGTTTAGGCGCCGTACCGGCACTTTAGGGTTTAAGCGCCGTACCGGCAGTTTAGGGTTTAGGCGCCGTACCGGCAGTTTTAGGGTTTAGGCGCCGTACCGGCACTTTTGGGGTTTAGGGTTTAGGGTTTAGTATTAGGCGATGTACCGGCAGTTGTAGGGTTTAGTTTAAGGTTTATAGGGTTAACCGGAGACCCGGCAGTTTTAGGGTTTAGGGTTAGGGTTTAGGCGCCGTACCGGCAGTTTAGGGTTTAAGCGCCGTACCGGCGCCGTACCGGCAGTTTAGGGTTTAGGCGCCGTACCGGCAGTTTAGGGTTTAGGCGCCGTACCGGCAGTTTTAGGGTTTAGGCGCCGTACCGGCAGTTTTGGGGTTTAGGCGCCGTGCCGGCAGTTTTAGGGTTTAGGCGCCGTACCGGCAGTTTTTGGGTTTAGGGTTAATAAGCACCGGAGACCCGGCAGTTGTAGGTATTAAGCCTAAACCCTAACTTAACCCTAATCGTAACCTTTTAGGCGGAGAGGTTCGGAGCCTCGCTCTTGTCTCCGCCAAAAGCACGCGACAATGTATTATGACAAAATTTAAAAAGCTTCAACCTTGAAGTTGGAGCGCTACTAATGGACAGCAAATGGCAGGCTACATTATAATGAGGCCCCGACTCCGAGAGAGCTGTCACACTGGGAAGTCGTGCGACGGGGGCTGGCTTCCTGCAGCAAAGCAGTCAGAGAATACTCAAAGACTCCCTGGAATGCAGAAGGCGGTCAGACAGTCAGTGCCACAAGGCTCCGGCTTGTCGTTCAGGGATGACACACGAAGTTGCTGGAAGGGTGCTGTCCTGAAGTCAAGCTGGAAATTTGAATCCAAAACCACACACAGCAGCCTTACATGGCAACACTGTGCCACAAGGCCCCGGCTCGCCGAGGGATGGGACAGTTGGAACTGGTTCGCTTGGACTTCGCTTCTGATTCCTCAAGCAAGGCAGTCAACAGGCTGTGACACGGGGGATCCTTGGATTTCAGCCAAAGCTTTATCCGGGTGCCTGGGAGCCGTAACTGCTACTACTACTACTACTACTGCTCTACTACTACTCTACTGCTACTACTACTACTACTACTAGACTACTAGTCAGTCAGACAGACCCCCTGCCAATCCAATACCATTACGGCCTCAACCTTAAAATAATCCCCTGGACCTAACCCGAATGAATGCCGGTTCTGCTGGTCCTGTAAGACCGCCTCGGACTCTGCGCATCCTGGCCAAGTGCGGGGCATACAATGTGACAAGCATGACAGGTCGTAGCAAACGACGTCCGGTTTTACTTGAACTTCAGCTGCAAACTTCACAGCTACTTGGCATGCAGACGCGCAATAGCACAAGAATAATGGCAAGGGCACGTGTTTTGCACCATTCAAACTGCTCGAATCAGAATCTGTGGTGAGTCTGTGCTAGATTAATTGGGAGTTGGATGGATTTCGGCCGAGACAAGAGCGAGGCTCCGAACCTCTCCGCCTAATCTCCAGAACTCAGAAAGCACATGGATTTAAGCCGAGACAAGAGCGAGGCTTGGCGGACTTCTGAACCCCTCCTAAAAGTTAAACTTTTAGCCTCCTTATATATTATAGCTCATATAGAAACCCTTAAAAGTCAGTTAAAGTCTAAAGAGCCAACCAGAAGAACGCCAAGGATGCTCCGATCCTTTCAGCTTACTCTCCAGAACTCTTGCTCTTACTGTGAGTCGCTGTTGGCAGCCGAGGCTCTGATCCTACGGAGGACTCTGAGATGGCTTTTATGATTCGCTCTTACAGTGGGCAGCCTCGACAGCCAAGCGAAGCGGCAGGCTGTGACTTGTAGAGTTCATGGATTTGGGCTGAGACAAGAGCGAGGCTCCGATCCTCTCAGCCTACTCTCCAGAACTCTGGCTTTAAAACAGCCTGCAAAAAACGCCAACTCCGCCGAAATACTCCTGTCCTTGGATTTCGGCTGAGACAAGAGCGAGGCTCTGAACCCCTCAGCTTACTCTCCTTGGATTTCGGCTGAGGCAAAGAGCGAGGCTCTGAACCCCTCAGCCTACTTTCCGGAGTTTGGCGAGGAGTCTCGCTCACTGCCGCTAGCGGCACTGGACCCCGTGGTCGATGCCTGGCTTCGTTTGCCTCCGGGGTCGTGCTTGTCGCAGAGATCCAGGATCGTGTTTAGGTTGCCGTCCTTCTCGCTGATGTAGCGGGCGAGGCGCCACCAGCCTGCAGTAGTGAGCTTCGGCTCTTTTTTGTTGATGTGTTCGTCAACAGGGAAGCGCCCAATCTGCGGGCATCCTTCAATGGCGTAGACCTTCGGGACAATGACCGGCACAAGGTCGTAAAGTTGCTGCGGGCTCATGTTGTTGAGCCCCTCATACCACGCCGTCTTGTTCTTCTTGACCTCGTCGTCGAGGATCTCCGGCATCAGGTCGGCCATCATTGCCAGTGTTGAATTCTCTGGCCCAGGGAACTCCAGCACCATAGATTCTCCCCTCTTCCAAGGGACGAACCGTGCGCCACAACCCAACTCAGCGGGGAAGGGGATGTCCGGGTAGTACTTTTCCCAGTTGGGTTTGTGCTGCCGGCAATACCACCGGGACCCTTGCTTGTCCCAAAGCTTCCCTGCCCGGTAGAGGCCGCATGTCTTGCCGTCGCCACACTTGGCACGGCACATGTAGAAAAGCGCCATGGACCATTCACCATCTTCATTCACTTCCATTCGGTCGTCATAGTCCATTGCCTTGACCATGCGGTCCTGCTCAGGGTGGTCCTTGAACACTTGGTAGTCATACGCCTCCTCTTCCTCCTCCATCAACTTCTCCAGGGTGCCTTGGCAAATTGGCTGACTTCTGAACCCCTCCTAAAAGTTATACTTTGAGCTTCCATTATTATTATAGTTCTAGAAACTTTTAAGAGTCAAGTAAATTAAAAAATTATTGAATTTAAATTCTACCAGAAGAACATCAAGGCACTCAGAGCCTGTTCATATGGAGCATCGCCCGGGCGCAACTTCTCGAGGGCCTTCTCCATCTCCTGGATCTTCTCATGAATTGCCACCGCTGCTTTCATGCGCTGGTTTGCCCGGCTGAAGGCCTCCCAAAGCTTGCCATCCTGGATGGCCTTGGCCAACCTGCTTGCGAACACGAGCGCCTTTTGCCTCTTCCTTTGCGTACTCGGAAGATTCATCCTTTGTACCGCTTTGATGGCCTCCTGGTACGCTGCCACGCGCAATCCGGCGTTGGCGGACTGGGCTTGCCACCTCGCCTCCTTCTTCAGCTCGTCCATGTCAACGTCTTCCCCTGCTTTTAACTTTAGCTCCGCCATGCAATCCACGCAGATCTTCATGCCCCCATGTTCGTCCGAGTCGGACACAAGCATCTGCTTCCTCTTCTTGACGATTCCACACTCTGCACACGGTTGCCCCTTGCTGGGCTGTGCCACCACGCCACCCGTCAGAGGGTCCCCGACGGCCCCGACTTCACGGCCATTCTCATCATCAGCCGGCGGCATGACGGGCTTGGGATTCAAAAGACAATTTGACGAATTTCGAAACACAGACCAAGATCATAACTTATTATGTTATGCTGTGACGGTAATAATCACAATAATAATGGCAGAATCTCAGATTCAAACCTTTCTTCAATGTCTTACTAAATAATTTTATCCTAATATAGTACTGATCGAATCTCACAATAATAATGGCAGAATCTCAGATTCAAACTTTCTTCAATGTCAATCATCCTGGCTCCAACTGTGGCTCTTACCTCACACAACGCCTCTCGGTAAAGCTTCAAAGTGGGCTAGTAGCCTCAAGATCTTCACTGTGGGTCCGTTACCTCCCACCACTTTAGCCAGCAGTGGTTGCGGCAATCTCGGCTGGTACTGCAATCCCTTGCAAGCACAGACTGACAGTCAGAATCTGGCAGAGCAGTCAATCAATGTCAACCGACCCCGAACCCCAGAAGTACCCGCCTCGACGGCTCCACCACGTCTGGGTTCCATGGCCTGATGAGTCGGTCAATGTCAAGCCCTCCAAAAGAAAGCACCGAAAAATCAATTCAACTCGCGCCTCAACGGCAATCAATCAGTGCCTGGACTTACTGCTGATTTATGGCTGGCTTGTTGAATTCGGGCTCAGAGTGCGTGTCGTCTAAAGCTATAATTGCCTTGAGCTTTGGCCTGGGTTGTTTGTGGACTTCGGTCGTAAATCTCGCGCATGGCTGCGGAACCTGGACCCAGTCTATCTGCCAGCCTGGGTCCCTGAACAAGGCCAGGAGGTAAGCGCACAAAGCTACCGATTTCCAACACAAGTGACATGCCAAGCGCTTCCGGATGAATGCAAAACTAAATTGTCTACTGCAGCTCGGAGCAAAGAGTAACAAGCTTCACGACACTTAGCAACTTTGGTCCTTGGATTTCGGCCGAGACAGTCAGAGTGAGGCGAAGCTCCGCCGATCATATCAGCCTACTCTCGAGATTTCTGGCTCAAACTAGCAAGCGAAAAACGAGGACCGAGGCTCCGATCCTCTCGTCGGCCTACTTTCCAGAAGATCAGAAGGACGATTTCGGCATGCGCTTCTGGAGATTTCTGGCTCAAACTAGCAAGCGAAAAACGAGGACCGAGGCTCCGATCCTCTCGTCGGCCTACTTTCCAGAAGATCAGAAGGACGATTTCGGCATGCGCTTCTGGAAGGCAAAATAATATAATGTTTACTGCAGCTGGGAGTAAAGGGTAACAAGTCTCACTTGTTGCATGCCGCAACTTTTGTCCTTAGCTTGGAGTTTGGCCGAGACAAGGAGCGAGGCTCCGAACCTCTCAGCCTACTCTCGAGAACTCTGGCCCAAACTAGGCGCAAAACAAGGAGCAGGGCTCCGATTCCATCTCTCGTCGGCCTACTTTCCAGAAGAAGGATGATTTCGGCCGAGGCAAAGAGCGAGGCTCTGAACCCCTCGGCCTAGTTTCATCTTTAAAAATAAGGAGTTCGGCCGAGACAAGAGCGAGGCTCCGAACCTCTCGGCCTACTTTCCCGTACATTTAGGGCAATAGGCTTTGTACCACTTAGCGCCTGACCAACCAATCTCCCTCAATGCCTTAGGCCAGGAGCCGCCTTTGTCAGCAAAGGTCACGACACATTTCCTGCAATGATTGCAGGCCACGAAGTACCAACACTGTTGCAGGTGCGGCACATACCTGTGGTAATACTTTTCGCCTGCAATATGCTGAGTGATCGTGTCATCCGGGGCCCGGAAGCTGAAGACCCCAGACGGCGGCATCATGTACTCGGTCACATCACCCCATTCTGTCTCAATGATCGTGCCCTCCAAGAGGTCGCCGCGCATGCCGCGTGTCGGGCTGTTGTCTGGCGGCAAAGATTGCTCCCACTCCGTCAATTCTGTCACAAGACGTAACCGAAACTCTTGTGGCCTTTCCTTGATCCACTGAAAGCACTGTTGGTACTGGGTCTCTGCGTCGCACGGGACCAGCGACGACGACGACATTATTGCGCTGCTAGTTGTCTATTGTGATAGGTCATGATTTCTACATGGCAGCGAGTAATCTGTGATAGGTCATGATTTCTACATGGCAGCGATAGCATGCAGCTATTAGCAGCTATAGAGCTTGACATTGATAGCCGACAGACACCCTGAAGTTCTTCACTGTGGGGCCGTTACCTCCCACCTTAAGCCAGCAGTGGTTGCGGCAATCTCGGCTGGTACTGCAATCCCGGTCCCTTGCAAGCACACTGAGACTGACTACCTAAGGCGTCGCGACAACTAGCCCCAGAGAGCAAGCTCTGCCCAGCCTGCCTCGCAACTTGCAGTGCAGACGACCTCTGCCTTGGACCTCTCAGCCTACGCCCTTAGCACAGAAAGCCAGCAAGTGCAACAAGCCAGCAGTGGTTGCGGCAATCTCGGCTGGTACTGCAATCCCGGTCCCTTGCAAGCACACTGAGACTGACTACCTAAGGCGTCGCGACAACTAGCCCCAGAGAGCAAGCTCTGCCCAGCCTGCCTCGCAACTTGCAGTGCAGACGACCTCTGCCTTGGACCTCTCAGCCTACGCCCTTAGCACAGAAAGCCACCAAGTGCAACAACGTGGTTCTCTCCTCTCACACTCCTTCTCTCTCGCTTCTTTCTTTCTTCCCGTCTCCCCGAAGCCTGCCCAACCCCGAGAGCAGGAACAGGAGAAATATTAAAATTTAAAATTCATATAAATTTAAATTAAATTAAATTAACAAGTATAATAGCTGAGGCCTTAGGGTGTCGTAGGTTTTTTTTTTTCAATCGGCGCTAGTCTCTGGTGGGCGGCGCGGCGATGCTCCTTTCAAGCTCCGCTGAAACAGGATCCCCTGGTTGATCTTTGACCCCCCGAATAGTACGAAAAAGCCTTAGTAGCTCTTCGTGTAGCTGGCTATCCCGGACGAGCTTGCAGGCCGACTCGCCTCCCATAGCCATTCGGAAGGCCTCCTTTTCTAGCTCGTTCTCGGATCCCACTCGCCTGGTTACCATCTCCCGGATCTTAGCCCTCAGCCAGTCCCAGGACTCGCCCGCGGCATGTCCACGAGAGTGTCGGGGCCAGCGCCCAGGAGAGCATAGCCCGCCACCGTCGTGGAATTCCTTTATCCCGTCGTTTTGATGGCATCGGCGGGGGGGTCCCGTGCCACCATGTAGCCGTGGGCCCTCTGGTTGGTTTGTAACATAGTCGAGGTCGCCAGAACTCGCCTTATCCTGCACAGTCGGTACCCCCTCTCCGGAGGCAGTCGGAGCAGTAGCCGTGCAGGTTGCCAGGGCCAACTGTGCTAGCCATCGGCAGAAGTTCGAGGGCCACTCGCCAAGCGTCTCCTTAGCCAGCATGGGGCTCTGCGGCGTCGATGAAGTAGCCGCTTTCGGCAAGGGGCCCAGGTAGTAGCCATTGTTGTCGAAGGTGGGGAGGCCTTCGTGCACGGTAGCCGGCATTTCCAGAGGTGTCTTCAGTAGCAGTCGTGTCGGTTTCGCCGAGGGTGCCCCGAAGTTATCCAGGTGCAGGGCCACCGAACGTAGCCCGAGGCCAACTAGCCGTGCATGAGCCTCCCATTGCCACATGCTGGCCGGTCGCCGGCCTTTGTGGGGGCCAGCCGGCATAGCCCCCAGGTCTTCTGGCTGCTCCAGGACGAAGAAGGTAGCCGAGGAAACCGCAGCACTAGCTATTTCAAAAGAAAAATCAGCAAAAATGTTGCCAAGAATAGCCCGGTCTCTTTCCTTGGCCGTGAGTGTAGCCAATCCTCTGGGCTCGTCGAAGCTTCGGACTGGCCGGGGACCTTTACGGTTAGCCGAGCTCGCCCTAGAGAACGTCGCCACAGGGGGAGACATAGCCACGATGTCGTAGTGGCCCGATTGAACTTTGTGAAGGTACTTCGCCCTCTCCTTGGAAGTAGCCAGGTCGGTGGGCGGACTTCTCGCCAGATCCACACAAGAGATATCGATGTCGAGCCCGAAGGAAGAGACTAGCCGGCGGAGGTGGCTTTGGAAGCTGCCTAGCCTTTCTCTTCCCGAGAAGAGGTAGAGAGCCTGTAGCCGCCGGTGTGCAGGTGTCGCCTCAGGTGTAGCCGATGTAGCCGGCTCAGGCACCGGTAGTCAGTTGGCCGCTGTCGACGTCGACGGCGTAGCCGTGCCGGGGCAGTTGATAGCCGAATGCGGTCCCCGACACTTCGTGCAGACATGCACGAAGTGGCACTTATCCCCTTTCTTGCAGCCACCTTTCAAATTAAATCGAAAACATATCGGCTTGTCATCCTCGGTGCGGTGGAAGGTAGCGGTCTTAGCCTTCTTGTTGCTATCCTTGCCGTCCTTGCCCTTGCCTCTGCCCTTGCCCTTCTTGTTGGGCTTAGCCGGCGGGGTGTTGGTGCTATCCCAGTTCCAGGGCTGCGGCCTTTTAGCACAAAGGGACAACGGAGTCGTGAAGTGCCGCTCCTTGGTAGCCGCGTCCTTCCAGGACCGCACTAGCGCGTCCGCGAAGGCTATCCCTTTGAGGACCATCTGCTTGTAGGCCTGTTTCCGGATAGCGTTCTCGTAGGATAGCACCAGGGTCCACGGGGGAGCAAGACTTCCGCTAGCCTCGTTGGACCGTAGCCCATAGCAAAAGTCGCCGAGCAGATAGTCTTTGTATTTCTCAAAGAGCTGGAAGTCGATATCCTTGAGTTCAGCTCGCCCTGGATGCTGGAGGCCTATCATGAGAAGTGCATTTTGCATGACTGTTAGCCGTAGCCGTAGCTGCTCCGGTCCGGATGGCATCGCCCCTTTCGAGGTAGCCTTCTTGAGCACGAGGGCGGTGCCCTTGCTATCCCACTGGGGAACTAGCACATCCGGGTCTATCTCGTCTCTGGACAGCACCTCGTTCAGGGGCTCCGCCCTGAACTCGCCCGTCTCTAGCTCGTGCAGCTTTCGCTCAATATATTCCTTAGCCGGAATATGCTTATCCTCGGGCTCGCCAAACTTCTGTGAGAAGGACTGGCGCATAGCCATGTATTCCG